CTTTGCATTTTAAATATTATGAGGACTCGTTAGTTGCGAGTAACCGATTTGAATTTGGTTTTTCACTGCCGCCAGTCAAAAAAAGGAACCGGCAGCGACTAATAGAGAGACAAAAAAAAAAGAATTCCAGCTTGCAGGGCTCGATGCAGCTCGCAACAACCGAGTCCGCGTGTAAATTGCATGTTCGCCGGCCATGGATTCATTTGCTGGAAAAAGATGCGTTCTAAAAGCTTCGACTTTGTATTTTGAAATAAAAACAAGAATTAAGAATAGGTTTGATCTTAATAGTTTGCTTCAAACTCTGATAAATTATTTGGAGACTGAACTTTCCTCTAGCAAAATACATATATTGTGTAGCATATTGAACTTTGAAGGTTTAAATTGATGCGGTTACACTGTAGGCCTCCTCACAGCGATAATAATTTGAGGTCAGTTTATTCATAACTACAGTACATGTAGTTATAGAAGTTTATGGACGAACTTCCAAGTATTTCCGACATTTCAATTTCGAAAATATTCGAAAGTTTCAAACTTCCATATTAATTAGACTATCTGACTAAATGTACGTACATTCGGTCGATGATTATGCTACGTTTTTCAGAAAATGCTGCTCATGATTAAAAAGTGATGTCTAGTTTTTGGGGCACTTTCACTGCAAATGTACTCGGCACATGTACTGTAAATGCTACGTTCTATAAACCGCAGTAAGAACGAAAGAGCGTATTGACTGCGTCCATTCGCGTCCATTCGCGTCCATTCCGCGTACAGTTTGCGTTCACCGCACGCGGTAAAGACGCGAAACAAACGCGTTCGCATGCTGCAATGATTTCAGGCGGTACTGTATCTAACATGAAATTATAGCAAAATGCTCATTTTGACTTTCTATCAAGGGTGGAGTAGTGATATTGAACTTGCCTCTCATCTCTGGGGTCTTTGCTGGTACTACAGAGAGTTTGTTAGGTCTCTCTTTTGATTGTAATACAAAAATAATCGATAATAGTGTTCAAGTGTGTTAATAGTGAAGGATGGATGTGGAAATGTCTATCACTATTATCACTTTTTTATTTTATTTTAAGCTGTTTTCTTTAATTATTATGTACTGTATTCACACTTGATTCTAGGGGTTTTCTCACAGTTCTCTAGTTTTTTTTCTTTAATTATTATGTATTCTCACTTGATTCTAGGGTTTTTCTCACAGTTCTCTAGTTTTTTTTCTTTA